TGAGAATAGGATTGAATGATTTCTCCGGCGCAGGGGAAAAAAAAGGCGGTTGCCGGCAGAAAAAAAACGGCTCCACTCTGACCGCCCTACAGGACCCATCGACCCCGTTCTGCCTGATTCACCAGGCTGCGCAACAAAGACACTGACGTAGCCAATTAAATCATGCGCGGTCCTGTATCCGCCTAGATGGTCAGAGACGCTCGATCTCCTAAAGCTCCTCCCCCTCCACTGCAACATATCCCCCTCCTATCCCTTGCTGCTATTCTCCTCATTTCTTGGATGTTACTTGCTTGATTTGATACCCATGGTGACTTGGGACGAAAATCTCTGTTAATTCTCCACGTTATTCTCGCTCGCATCGGTGTATGGCTGGTGACATACACTAGATGTCGACTCAGCCGCAGATCCCATTACCCCAGGTTGGGAAGCTTGTCAGTGTGGTGTGAGTATTCGACGCGCTGCCATTCAATCTAATGCACTCAATGCCCCAAGATGTGTACCATCTAACTCTTCCTTTCTCTTCAAGTCCGGTCGGTTTAAAGGAGGCCGCACTCGATTCCCCCACGTTCCGTGCCGCCGCCCTTCACTTCTCCGACCAGATCGAATTCCTTGAGAGATGGCTCGACGGCTATGCGAAAGCCACCTCCAAGCTCGCCACAGAGCTTGCGGCCATGGAAGGCGCCGTTAGCGTCTTCCTGTCCTACTCCACGAATCCTTTAATGGTCTCCGAAGCCGTCTTGGACCATGATTACACTCTACAGTCGATGCGGAGATGTGGTGATAGCTCAAAGGACATGTGGAATGGATTAGTGTCTACTGTCAAAAAGTTGGAATCTTTCGTCTCTGAACCCATAAGGGCATTCATCCAGGAGGACATGCGGAACTTCAAGGTAATAAATATGGGGCCCCCTTAAATTAAGGATCGGTTTCTGACCCCGCTCAAGGAGAACCGGCGCACGCTCGGCGAGACACAGAAACAGTACGACTACTTGCTGGCCCGGTATTCGTCACAATCCAAATCCAAAGAGCCCTCAGCGCTACGGGAAGATGCCTTCCAGCTCCATGAAGCCCGCAAAGCCTATCTCAAAGCATCGATGGATTTCTCCATCCAAGCACCTCAGCTGCGGAATGCGCTTGACAGGTTGTTGGTTCGCGTTTCCTTTGATCAGTGGCGAGAACTGAAGACCTTCCATACCAATAATGGAAGCTCATTCGCAAAGTGGGCTCACGAAATGGACCGCATCAAGGGTTGGGTGCACGAAATGGATGGAAATGAGAAATCTGCCAAGCGGGAGCTTCTAGCTTCTAGAAAGCAGATCGAGGAGGCTGCGGAGATCGCAGCTAGACCGTCCCGGGAGTTAGATGATTACTCTGTATCCACAGTCCCATACCTTGGCTCGCGTCCTCTGTCGATCAATAGCATGTCGAAAGAGGCAAGACCTGAGAAGCAAGGATGGTTATATCTTCGAACTCTCTCGGGTAAACCTACACGCACTTTCTGGGTTAGGCGCTGGTCTTTTCTGAAACACGGTATCTTTGGCTGTCTCGTCCAGGGCACTCGCACCGGTGGTGTTGAGGAGAGCGAACGAATTGGTGTCCTACTCTGCAGCATCCGACCGGCTTTCCAAGAAGACCGAAGGTTCTGTTTCGAGGTCAAGACGAAGAGTAACACCATTATGCTCCAAGCTGAGACGCAGAAAGACCTGATGGATTGGATTGCCGCATTTGAGGCCGCTAAGCGCAAGGCTCTGGAAAATCCTTCGAGCACCGACCTCTCAGTGTCCGGCAAAGTCACCGTTCAGGATCCTGCTTTTGCAATTTCTCAGCCCCCGGCGCCGGAATTTGCCGCTGATCCTGCCGACTCTCTCATCCCTCATACAAGCGATGAGCAGGGCTCGTCCGATCGTAGTGGTATGCTCTCACTGCCAGAGAAGGACCCGTCTGCTCTTCGCAACAGTAGCGACTTTAGCAGCTACCGGAGGTTGACGACACTGGACTCTGACAGCCCTGCCCGCGAGCACACTTCACGTCTCATGCAGAAGCTGGATCTTCACCGCAAACCAAATAATAATACAGTGCAGTCCTCGACATCTATCTCCGGAGTCGCAGGCGGGATTGCTAGTCTCATCACCGCAAGTCATAGTGCTATTGCTTCTGGAAGTACTTTACCCGTTGACCCCGATGGGACTAGATCCCGTAGCTCGACTCTTGGTAATGATTCTCCCACAACACTTGCCCCGATGACATTGGCCAACCCTCCTGCTCCGACCAGTATGAGCAAGGCTGCTGTGTTCGTGAGCAATGAACGGGGTATAGGACTCGGTCAAATCGACAAGACAGGTGGAATGCCCAGCGGCATGATGGCGAACTTATGGGGTAGCTCCAATTGGGGCTTCTTGAACAGGTTCGAGCCTGAGCGACTGGGACTGCCGGCCGATCAGGATCCGGACAAGCCACCTGCTCAAACGAAAGATCCATCTAAACAATTTCTGATCGCAGAAGCCGACACTTCGAGTGGATCTGTCACGCTCAAACCACAGAAGACCGGGTCGCGCCATAGACCGACGGTGAGTTTGGACGGCGACTCGTCTAAAATACAACGAGCGCTCATGGGCGAGTCGCATGACTACCCTAGCTTCTATCCTCCGCAACTCAAAATTCATGATGCCCAATTCCGACTGCTTTTCCCCGATATCAAGAAGGATGAGCCTTTGGTTATGGTGTTCCGGGCCACATGGAGCCCGAACGACCAGCAAGATTTCCCTGGGAGGGCTTATGTTACAACCCAAAATATCTATTTCTACAGTCACCACTTCGGTCTGGTACTGACGACAAGCATATCTCTGGAAAGCATTAAAGAGATCACCGCTGCTACTGGTAGAGATTGTGACTTCTTGTTTGTACATTTGATACCTCTTCCTGGCGACGACACACCAGGTCGTGGAACAATTAAGACCTTCCTGGAGCCACTCAGACTCCTTCAGAGGCGACTTAACTTCCTTATTCACAATATGGCGGCCGCCGAACCTCTAGGGCTGGAAGCCATTTTCAAGACTCTGATCAGAATGGAGACAGAGGCCATGACCCGGACACCAAGCTTGGATAGCTGGGAGGACGTGGGCGCTGGGGCCGACAAGAACGACCTCAGCGATGCGCCGACAGGAGGCTCTAAGAAGGACTCTCGCCTACCTATCTACATTGACAATGACCTCAACATGCACAAAAAGCACGGCAACGGCAAGGACATTCCGAAGTTCCGACTTCCAACTCAGCCTGTTCAGTATGTTCCCCAAGGAAAACTTCACTTGGCTGCAGAGAAGGTGTTCGACATCAGTCCTAAGGCAGTGTTCCACATCCTCTTCGGGGATAAGAGTGCTCTGTGGCAGCTTCTTCTGCATCAACGGAATGCGCAGGGTAAGTTATAGCCGAGTCCAGTCCGGCGCTTGCTAAGACCGTCACAGGTATCAAACAAGGGCCCTGGACCAGACACGAGTCCAATCATCTAAGGCGAGACTTCAACTACTCAATTGAGACCACCGATATTCTGGGTAAGTATTTGGGTCCCTTGGACGGGTTACGCCTGGTCTGACAATCAGTAGGGGCCAAGCATAGCCAAACCATCTCAGATTACCAAATGATTGATGTTCTCAATGACCACCTTTGTTACGTCATCACGGACAAACGCACTCCCTGGCACCTCCCATTCAAGCGATCTTTTAGGTTGGTCAGCAAGGTTGTGATTACCTTTGTCGCGAAGGGCAAGAGCAAACTCTCTATATACACGAAAGTGGAGTGGCTATGGTCTCCGTATGGCCTGCAGAGTGAGTTACTTGGTACTCCTGGGAATATACATAGCACCGCTAACTATCTCAGGCATCGTGGATAAGAGTGCAAGCAGTGACTTGCAACAGGACGCGTTAGACCTCCTCGACCTCGTAGGTGACCAGGTTCGCAGACTAGGCGCACATAGTCGAACGAAAAAGGCCATCACGATATTCGGCCATGTCGGGCGCCAGAATTCCGCCTCGCAGTTCTCACCTTCAGGGGACTTGAAGCTAGAATCACGCAAGCCTCGCGTCCAGAGAAATATGGCCCACCTCTTGTTCGAGACGTCCTTATCCTTCCTGGAGAGTGCCGTGTCATCCCTCCTCATGTGGACAGGTGCTTTCCTACGCTGGGTCTGGAAGACTACCAATGCGAACACGATGATCTTGTCCCTACTATTGGCGAGCGTGCTGATAAATGGGTTCTATTCGTCACAGGCTGTCCATGAATGGTGGGATGATAGGAGTGTTGGAAACTTCATGGCCCGCATTGGAGTCGGTCCCGATAATGTGATGAGTAGAGCTATCTATATGAGGGATATCGACGAGGCCATTGCGAATATAACCGTGGGGCGCGGAAGCGGCAACGTCAGTGATTGCTTCGCGACGTTCCATCAGCAGACCTTGCGCGAGCCAGGGACGGCCTTGTCCTTAGGGTCGGCTGGTTTTAGGGACTCCATGACTAAGAGCGCAGCTCGCAGGATCCAACAGACCCGTGAACGGCTGGCTACTTACCGACACAACCTCCTGGTGGCTCTCCGAGTGGTGAACAGCATCGAACGAGAAGTCATCCAGAATGAGTGGGAGCGGTGGCTTCGACAGGAGCTGCGCCGCTGTCGCCAGGTCGGGATCCTCCTCGGCCAAAATGATGACTTTGACGATGCCGAATTGGAGGGGGAGCGAACCAGCTCGAATGCGTTCGCCAACCTGAGTGGCGACGTCAAGCAATGGTACGGCATGTACTGCTCCAGCTGCCAGGCCGAACGGTCATATATCGAAGACGACCATGCTTTCAATGAGCTCTAGACATTCGTGGCCGGTCTTGCTTGCGTGGTACCAATTCTTTTTTTTCATGCACTCTTTCTTCCCATGCTGAAACAATACCCGACAATGCGAGGCGATCTGTTTTGTTCATATCAATTGTATCTCTCCAGAGGAAGCACGGTTTTATCTCTGTTGCCGTTCTCAGCGCATGTATATAACTTTGGTCGGGTCTGGGCTGTAATAGTATGAATTTGGACGAGACTCTCTGCTGTGCAAAAAAAACGGTGGTAAGCCGCTCCCTGTTCTTCCTCCTTTCTTCGTTCGTCCAGCCAGCCGCAAACCCACATTGGCCCCAAAAACCCATGCATGGGTTCCCTCTTCTCCCACTGTCAAGCAGAGAGAACGGTATCAATTCTGTCTCGGCTTCACGGCACCATCCTGCACAACATAATAGACCACCGTACTATCCCCACCCATCTGCCTATCCACCATGGCGAGAAGCATCCTCTTCCCACCCCACTCCCTAGTGACGCGGGCCTGTTTCCGATACGCGTAATACTCCTTCAACTTGTCCGCCTTGCTGCTGCTGTTGGTTCTATCACCATCCTCTCCCTCTCCCTCATCATCATCCTCCTCCCCCACATCCCCAGAATCCTCTAGCGCCGGAAGCGCATCAAACACCCCGGCCAATCGCCGGAGACTCCACGTGTGGCCCTGCACGGTGGGGAGGACGAACATCCGTTCGAGTTCAAGGTCCTCCTCGCGGAGTCCGCGCTCGAGGAGGTAGAATTGTTCGTCCGGGTGGGTGTAGAGCCGGTGCGGTGGGATTCCGGAGATGAGGTTGATATGGTTGGGTGGATCGGATTCGGTGGATGCGGCGGCGGCAGGGAAAGTGGAAGGGAGTTCGTGGATTTGGAGCGAGGTCCAGAGGTGTTGGTGTTGGAGGTTGTGGAGGACTTGCAGGGTGAGGGCGGAGGTTTTGGGGTTGAGGTTGAGGTTGGGACTTGGGGGTGTGGTTGTGGTTGTGGTGGGGTTTGAGGACGATGGTGATGGTGTTGGTGATGTGAAGGAGGTGATGAGGGTTGTTAGGGCGGAGGGGCTGGTTGTTGAGGTCATGGTTGTTTGTATGTGTGTGTCTGTCGTGTTTGATTTGCGCGCGGTTGAAGATGGAGGAGTGTAGAGATCGCAAGGTGGGAGGTGATGAGGTGGTTGTTTGAGGGGAAGTTTTTGTGGTACGTGTGGTGCGATTGATTCGGTTGGATGGTTAGGATCAATTGTAGTGCATGCGCGACAGTTGCTGACAAGCTCAATCTGTACCTGAGTCAAATTGGCATGCAGAAGCTCCAACTGGAATATCGGACTAAAAAGTTGGAGAAGGACTTGGGCGGGGCGGAAAAAAGGGCGATGAGTTCGCGCCGAAGTTCCGCGGCGCGTTTTTGGGAACGGACGGGGAGAAGCTGCAGGAAAGAACAGAACACATGGCATCATCTGAAACATACATTTATAAAGTTATCTCGATACCCCATTCACTTTCTTTTTCCCTTGCTTTTCGAGTCACTCTTTAAGTTATTCTTGTCTCCGTGGATTTATGCGATTTGGTGGAGACTATCTTTTTTGATCCAATCCTCTGTTGGTCCTATTGTCACAGTCCTTCCACACGTCTCGTTGATCGCATTGGTTCACCAGAGACCAACTCCGCGCGTCTCCTTTGCCAATGGCACGTCAAAAACAAACAGCTCCCTTACAACGGGCCACTTCTTCCCAACTCATGCATGTGCCGCCGAATGAATCGAGTGCGCAGGCACTTAAGCAGCAGAACGGAGGTGCTGTCGCAAATAATCATGTCTCTGGAGCAAAGGATGCGACGCAAGATACCCCTGGCCTGATGCAGCTTGCCATCTGCGTTTTGGGAATCTATGCTTCTTTGTATGTGCCTTTGATGATCCGTATAGAGGGGAAACTAAAGCTGACTGCTGCGCACAAGTCTGTCATGGGGTGTCCTCCAAGAAGCCATCACCACCGTCTCCTATCCGGTTCAGCCTCCGAGCGCTGAGTTGCCCGAACCGCCCACCGAGCGCTTCACATACTCGATTGTCCTAAACACGATCCAATCCACCTTTGCAGCCATCACCGGTTTCCTGTACCTCTTCTTCTCGACTCCGTCCGGACAAAAGGTCCCCTCCATCTTCCCCACGCGGAAGATCCTTTTCCCCCTGCTCCTGGTCAGCATCTCCTCGTCGCTCGCATCCCCCTTCGGATATGCCAGTCTCGCGCACATCGACTACCTCACCTTCATCCTCGCCAAGTCCTGCAAACTGCTCCCGGTCATGTTCCTCCACCTGACCATCTTCCGCAAGCGCTACCCGCTCTACAAGTACGGCGTGGTTCTGCTGGTCACGCTCGGCGTCGCGACCTTCACGCTGCACCACCCGGGCACCAGCAAGAAGGTGGCCGCCTCTGCGGCCAAGGGCCAGTCCGGGTCCAGCGCGTGGGGGATTTTCTTGTTGTCGATCAACCTGCTGCTGGACGGCCTCACCAACACCACCCAGGACCACGTCTTCACCACGCCGCAGACCTACACACGGTTCACGGGCCCGCAGATGATGGTCGCGCAGAACGTGCTCTCGACGCTCCTGACCAGCAGCTACCTGCTGGTGATGCCCCACCTGTCGGCGACGGGCCTCCTGCACAACCTCCTGCCGTTCCCGATCCCGCCGTCCACGGAGACGGAGCTGACGGCCGCGATCGGGTTCCTGTCACGCCATCCGGAGGCGCTGAAGAACGTGCTCGGGTTCGCGGCGTGCGGGGCGGTCGGGCAGCTGTTCATCTTCTACACGCTCTCGCGGTTCTCGTCGCTGCTGCTGGTGACGGTGACGGTGACGCGCAAGATGCTGACGATGCTGCTGAGCGTGTTCTGGTTCGGACACTCGCTGTCGGCGGGCCAGTGGCTGGGGGTGCTGTTGGTGTTCGGAGGCGTCGGCGCGGAGGCGGTTGTGCAGCGACAGGAGAAGAAGGCCAAGGAGAAGGCGAGAGCCGCCGCTGCGGCCGCAAAGAAGGAGTAGTAAGGGGTCTTCACCCGCGCCATCAAAGTTCCCATTCCATAATTGTACATATTAAGTTTAGCAAGCATCATCTCCATAGACCTATGCTTCCAATCATCACTCCGCATGTCATCATCACAATGGTACCAACCCTCTCACCCATCTTATTACCAAGTAAATCTTCTTCAGTCAACCCAACCACAAGAAATCTACTTCCGCCCCTCAACCATAATAATATGATACCCGAACCCCGTCTTCACCTCCACATACTTCGGATTCGCCGTCGTACTAGGCTCCAGCTCATACGCTGCCTTCTCAAAGTCCCCATTCAAGCTGCCGCGGACCTTCCATCCCAGGGATCCGCCTTTGTGGGTTGGCGATCGTCAATACGGTACAAACAGGATCTATGATAAAAAAGGGCAGAAAGGAAAAAAAAAAAAAACATACCCTGCCGCGCCTTATCCTCCGACATCTCCCTCGCGACCTCGTCGAACTTGGCCCCGTTGCGGAGTTTCTCTAGGGCTTCTTCTTTCTTGGAGTGTTTCTCGCACTGTTTCGGGATTATCGGGGTCAGTAAGTAAACTGGGGTGGGTGGTATTGCATGTATATCTCTTAAGGGAAAAGACCAGGACGCTGAGGGGTGGGAGCTTGGTTTCCTTCTTCCTGATGCATACATATTCGATATGGAGGATAGGGTGTAGGATGTGGGTACTAGCTAGTACTACCTACCCCCTTTGCTCCGATAAGAGCTACAAATAATTCAAGAGTCAATACGTACAAGAATATGCCGCACGTTGATGGCCGTCGCCGGCTTGAGGCCTTTCTTGTCGCCGCCGCTGTCTTTGCCCTTCTTGTCGCCGCCCCCGCTGCTGCCTTTGTTTTTACCCATGGTGTTGGTGTTTATGGGAGGGGAACTTTTGAGGTGTATGATGGGGTGATGTGTAGTGGGGATGAGGCAGGTTGTTTGGGGTTGTTTTGATGGGAACGTTGAAAGTTGAGGTGGTGGCGGTGGGGGGGAGGAAGCAAGGTAAGTATGTGGGGGTTTGGATGCCTGAGGTTTGATAATTGGGAGGCTGTTACTGCATGTATGTATGTATTGTATATGGAGGTTGATGGACGAGAGGTTTCTGGGTGTGTACTGTAAGCTACCTAGTTTAGCCGAGGCTTTTTGGACTAGTGGTTGTTCGATTATTGGGTATCGTGTAATGTGGACAGGTTGCATATAGTGTTGTTGTTCTGTTCGATTTCCGTGCTTGTTCGGGATCGGGTTCGAGAGTCGGCGGTATATATTCGTAGAAGGTAAATGTTTCTGTAGAAGTCTATTCACCATCGACTTCTACTGTATACCACGAAAGACAATCTGCTATTTAGATTCCAGGAGCAGTTACCGACACCAACAAGATGACTACATGCAGAAATTCGTGATAGGACTATATCCCATACGACATTACTTTGTTCCCATGAACCACAGAAGAACCGGACCAGTATATCCAGCCAAGTTAGGTATGCAAGCTTGGATCAATTAACATCCGTGCCAGTAGTAACTTGACAATAATGCAGACCCAGAAGCTCGATTCAGCTTCTGCAGCATTTGTCTATGCAACCGAAGTTAGAAATCATGATGTCATCACCCTCCCTGGAGAGTCCAGTTCACCAGATCGAGTCAGCCATTGTCAATAAGACATCGTGTTCCACCCGCCACACAGTCTCATCTATCGAATCACCTGACCATCTGGGGGAAAGAGTCCATTGTCTCTCAGACAAAGAGACCCCAAGCTGCACTGCAGCCTGCCTGCAGCCTGCCATATCTATTCTATTTTCAAGAAGTCCACTCCACTCTCCGCACTCGGGTTTCCGGTCCCCCCCCTCCATCCGCAAGCTAAAAGTAGCAACAAGGCGAGTGTGCCAGGGGTAAATTTAGGAGTTAGCCCCAGAAGAGAAGAGGATTCTAACCAATCACTGCACTTAGGGGGTCGGACTTTTTATTTTGGGATACGTCAACCTTCTCTCTGTCTGCATTGAGCTCTTCGTACTCGTACTCGTACATGCGATCGCTCTCATGCAGTGACAGCGTGTCCGCAAGTTGTCGAGTTATCTTGAACCGGAAGGAAAAGTGTCAGGTGGGCGTACACTGTACCTGAACCAGATGGGGGAGCTCGAAAGGGCCCGCATCAAGCAATTGCCATCGGATGCATTCTACATTGCGGACTTCATCTCGGAGATGGAGGAAGCCTTTTTGCTTCAGAAGGTTTGTCCCTGAATATAGTTACATATTTAGTCCTTACCTAATTCATACGGTACGTGTTATGATTTACGATTCTCTTTAGATCGTTACCGCTCCCCTCCCGCGCTGGACGCATCTCGCACATCGTCGCCTTCAAACCTGGCCATCTGCCCTGACCAAGACCAACACCCTCATCGCCTCTCCGCTTCCCTCCTGGCTCGTCTCGCCCATAGTGAGCCCGCGGTTCGATGCCCTCGACATCTTCCGACATGCCCCGCACGGCGCCCCGAACCATGTCCTGGTGAACGAGTATTGTCCCGGACAAGGGATTATGCCTCATGAAGACGGCGCGGCATATTACCCGCTCGTGGCTACGGTCAGCCTCGGCGCGCCGATTGTGCTGGATCTGTATGACAAGCCCACGGCCGACACAAAAGACGGCCTGGATCGCCAACCAAGATATCGCATTCTGCAGGAGCGACGTAGTCTGCTGGTCACCACGGACAACATCTACACGGACTTCCTGCATGGGATTTCGGAAACCGACAGGGACGAGCAACTCAGTGCCGACTCCATCTGCAATTGGGACTTGCTGAGGGAGTCCGAACGGTACGAATGTGGCTGGTCTCAAAGGGGAACCAGGATCAGTCTAACTTATCGTGACGTGCTCAAAGTCGCGAAGCTGGGAAGCACAATGAAATTCTTGAGTAGACGATAGTCCGGGTTTGCAGAGAACCTTAGACGTTTAACCTAGAATCAGTATATGCCCGGAATCATATTCCACTTCCCTTGCATTGAACTTCCGCCGAATTTCTGGATATACCATCGTCGGGTGTTGGCCGTCGTCAGGCCAAGGTTGATGGCCACAAAGGCCAGAGCTGCCAGAATCGTCTTATTGATGGTTTCCCCCTGCGGAGCGGCTAAGAATGCCAGGGACAAGTAGATGACACACTCGGCCGTGTAGTGCGGGCATACAAGCCTGTGGAATAGAGGGTGGATCGGCAGGGTATACTTCTCTAAGGAGAAGAGATAGTGGTGAGCATCGTGCTGGAGACCTGATGCGAGCAGGAAAATCGGAAGGGAGATGAAGGTGCGGAGTGAAGGGGCTATGGTGACCTTCGCATCATCGAGGACAATTGGGCGGGCCAGAAGCGTGCCTGTGGCATGATCAATGGGACTTTCTCTCTTGTGTTGCGCCATGCATGGGGGGGGGGTTGCTGTACCTGCTCCTTCAGCCCAGACCGCAACCGACATGCCCAGGTAGAAAGCAAGGCCTACGAGCCAGTGAATGAACCACATTCGAGACGCGGATGGCCTCGAGAACACGAAGCACTCATACAGCCGCCTTACCCCCTGGAGAAGCATGCACACCCAACACAGCAAGACTTGGTTTATCGTCATGGACCTCTGCAGGTGATCTGGGCTGACCCTCGTTGCAAAGGCCTGGAACGCCGCGCCACGGCAAAGGAGCTGCACGCCCCAAAAGACCGAGGCAGCCACGGAAGCGACATAGAATTGCGTGAAGTAGCTGTGAGGGACTCTCAGGGAGGCAAGGTAGTCGAGGATGCGTGTAGCTGGGGATGACGAGGGTGAGGAGGAGGTAGAGGTTCTGGACGCTGGGGCAGAGGGAGGCTTCGAGTCGGTTGATGTTGCACGAGCGCCATAAACAACGAAGCGCGAGTGCAACGAGTCCGGCAACACGCTGACCGACAGAATCTAAGGTTTCTCAATTTAGTTCATTCTCAACGGACCGTGTCCAGGGCGTGCAGCATCGTCTCCGACTGTTGTCTGCCTCGGCTTCTCGGATGCTACGGCTGATCATACCGTACAAGATGCGAGGATGAAGAAGGCTCGAAGGGCATCAATAGCGTCCATGTGCGTGAAGGCAAGCGCTGTATCCACCAGACCGGCGAGCACGATCATTGCGTCCGGTTACCATGTAGTTGTATCTGGTGCGTGTCCGCCACTGACGCGGAGCAGGAAGATTGACTGTGGGTGGGGAGTACGGAGTAAGAAGAAGATGTTCGGCCGGCAGGAATAAGAACAAGAATCAGAAAAGGTCGATAAACAATAACAAACAGGGTTTCGAGTCCAGTCTAGAGCCGATCTGGCCGGGGCAGTGGTGTGTTTTGGTTTCAGTCTTGGTTCTAAGTTACTGACTTACTATACGAGGAAACGGGACTGAATTGGGGGGAAAATCGGGGACGGGGACGCGGAGGGAGGCTCTGGTATTTATGTTTGTTACCGGTTTTACCACTTTGGTACCACAGTACTTTACGCAGTCGAATGTTCCTGTCATGATGATGCGACACCATCGAAAGCTCGAGTGTGGAGAACAAAAACACCGAGACTCCACAGCCAAGGGGTGAGTGAGATGAGCAGTCGTAAATCATAAACAAGCAAACCCGTCGGAACTGAAAGGATTTCGGCGTTTGTTTGATCCACTAAGGGTCTCGTGATGTCAAAGGTGAAGAGGGAGGAGCTGAGGGAGGTGAGAGCAAGAAGGGTTGAAGAAAGCGGCCTCCTTAGTTACGAGGATCGTACTCCGTACTGTACGGAGGATGAAACATGTCGCCCACATTGTCGGTTCGGTAAGGATGTTATAGGATACGGGGACGAGATAGGGACTGTCAAACAACAAACTGGAAGATCTTCTCTCCTACGCTCTCCATCCGCCAATATACCACTGCACCACCAGACCTCGATCAATAAGGGTCCTGCTCTTTTTGCCAGCATTCCGGATCGTCAGATGCCGGCTGTTGACGGAGGGGTAAAGAGAGCCCCCCCTCCTCTATCTTTGATCTCTTGAGTGCTTTAGTGGCTCTCACACCCTTTTTTCCTTTTTTAGTATCGTCTCTCTTGCTTCTGCACAAGCAAATCCTAATTCCATGGATGGGGGTTAGACTAATAATCATCTATCTATACAAGACCAAGCGAGTCATCCCGCCCAGTGAATGAACAGAAAGAAAGAAAGGAAGAATAATAAACTGGAAAACAAGAGAAAAGCAAGTTCAGGCAGTCAGTGAGAGTGTGTGAGATGAGCGGGGCGATAAGCCGGAAGAAAGAGGGACAATGACTGGTCTTGCCAGGAGGAGAAGATCGCTGAAGGACGAAACCTTCTAACCCGCATGCGGCAACCGGCGGGCTACTCACTGTCAATCATTGGAGGAGCCGAGGGGGGCAAGCGGATGGCTAGCCTGATAGCCTACGCCAGCTTCCAGGGAACTGCCACAATCCGTCACTCATTCCCACCCTCCGTTCCAGAGCTTGCCCGAGTTTCAGTCGCTGCAACGCCGACCCTCCTAAAAAAAGGCTAAAAAATGGAAAAAAAAAGAAAAGAAAAGAAAACAGAAAAAAGAAAGAATACTTACTAACCGCCCCAAAAAAGCCAGACAAGGTCGAATAAAAGGGAAGAAAAGGGAAAAAAGGAAAAATAAAGAAAAGCAAGCAAGCAGCAGCAGCAGCAAAGAGAAGGCAGACGTTTAACCAGACCAGTCCGCCACCACTGCATCTATACTTGCTTGCTTGCTTGCTTGCTGTCTACTACTGTGAGTACCGACTGTATCCTCTCTTCTCTATTAGCTCAGTTCTCCTGCCAGGCTCCCTCTCCTCTCTATCGCTCTTCTGTGTCTCTTGCTTCTCTTCTTTGACCGCCCCCTCCTTCTCTCCTCTCATTCCCCCCTCCCCTCCCCCCGCTTTTCTTTGGGCCTTCTCGCAGGCTTGGTTCAAATCGAAGAAAAAT